TGAAAAATTTTATCTTGCTAATTAAGGACAGATCTCCAAGCTCAGGAAATCCAGTGGTTGGAGGGTAGGCTAATGTTTTCATAAAAATGACCAGACAGGTGTCGTTGCAGTGGGACAGAGGTGGAGGTAGAGTGAAATAATTACTCAAAAGCAGTTTCATGGTATCAAAATGTAGGTTGAAAAGTGTGAGCCAGGCATAGTGATGCACACCAATAGTCCCAGCACGCTGGGAGGCTGAGGAAGGAGGATCTCAAGTTCAAGCTCAACTTGGGTATCTTAGTGACTTACTCAGCACAACTCTCCAAATAAAAAATAAAAAAGCGCTAGAGATATAGCTTAGTGTGTAAGTCCTGGGTTTAATCCTCAGTACAACAAGAACAACAACAAAAACAATGACAACAAAACAGGAACATTCCTTGCACATTGCCATTAGTATTACATGGCCACATTGGTGTTGAGCGGGGATGCTACCTTTGCTTCTTTTGCTCTATTCAAAGTTGTGTGATTTGTTCAGTCAAAAGATCTTTAAAAAAATCTACCAATTCTTTTTTTTTTTGGTACTGGGGATCGAACTTGGGTCCTTGCGCTTGCGGGGCAGGCAGTGGAACCACTGAGCTAAATCCCTGGCCCTACCAATTCTTATATTACAGTAAACAATCTGATTTACAGCTTTGCTCATTTATTTAGTTTAAGTCCTAGCTGGTTATTCTGCACATAGTTTAAGAAACAGTGGTAAAACATCTAATATTGCTCCTAAAATATTTACTCATAAGTGGATACAACAGGCAATAATTGAGTATGACTGAAGATCCTCTGTTCTTCCTACAGACTTTTTTTGGCTTTAAATAAACTTTTTATTATTTTAGAATAGTTTTAGATTTGCAGAAAAATTGCAAGGATAGAGTGAGTGCCTGCATATCGATCACTTGTTTTATTCTTATTTTAATATCTCCTGTTAGTATGGTATATTTGTCATGACTAATGAACTGATGCTGACACATTAGTATCTAAACTTCATATTTTATTCAGATCGCACTAGTTTTCCCTAACATTCTTCACCACCCAGGAGCCCATACCACACTATGTCAAGTTGTTATGTCTTTTTAGGCTCCTCTGGGTTGTAATAGTTTCTTAAATTCTTGCTTTTGATGACCTTGACAGTTTTGAGTACCGATCAGATGTAATGCAGAATGCCCCTCAATGTGGGTTGGCCTGATGTTTTTCTCATTGTCAGACTGGGATTATGTGTTCCTGGGATAAATGCCATAGAGGGAAAGTACCATTTTTAGCACTTCAGGTCAAGGGTGCGTGCTATCAATGTGATTTATTATTGATAGTGTTTATCATTGGCTAACGTAGTATTTGCTAGGTTTTTCTACTTTTCCTTCTTTCTAAACTGTGCTCTTTGGAAGCAAGTGACTAAATATAACCCATATGTAATAGAATGTGGAGTTATAGTCCACTTTCCTAAGAAGGAAATATCTACTGAAATTATCCAGACTTCACAGAGATTCCTCCCTCTGCTTCTTCCTATCAGTGTGGACTTACAGACATTTATTTATACTTTGGGTTATAATATAATAATTACATTATTTTGTTGGTCAAATTATTCCAGCTTTTGCCTTCAGAGAGCTCTGTAAGATACTTTTAGATTCATCTTCTGTATTTCTGTCCCATTCAGTTGTTTCTTCATGGAGCCCTATTTCCATATTGGAGAATGACATTAGAAATGAACATCTGGGTGTTTGCTCTATCTATAGGATTATGACCTGGTAGTACTAGGCCAGTTTCTGGTTTTCTTTCTCAGGAAGCATTCCTTGTCATTTTCCTTGACTGTCAAATAAAAACAAGCAATAATGAAACATGGTTGGTTGCTAAAGAAACTACTTTTTACAAACTTGGCAGAAAGTATATAAAAATGAGAGGGGCTGGTCTCCTTTCACTCTGCAGTAGTCCTCTTATACCTAGAAATCTTTGTTCAGTTTGGCAGTTGACAGTTTAGAATGTTGTCAAACTGTAGCACTTCAAAAGAGGCTGACTACATTAACAAAGTTAGGAAACTATTATCAAAAGAATTTGGTCAGAAGTATGATTAAAGAAATTGAATATTAGACCCGAAAAGACTTGGGTGGATGTCATAATTGTTTCCTGTGATAGGAAATGCATTTTTGTGCTCCAGAAGGAAGACTGGAACAGCATGGTACTGGCAAAGAAACAGACCCAAGGATCAGTGGAATAGATTAGAAGATCCAGAAACAACTACAGATATGCTCAGCCACCTCATCTTTGACAAAGGAGCCAACCATCCTCATGGGAGGAAAGATAGCCTATTTAATAACTGGTGTTGGAAAAACTGGATTTCAACCTGCCAAAGATTAAAACTAAACCCATACCTATCACCATGCACTAAATTAAGATAAAAGAGGATTAAAGATTTAAATATTAAGACAGAAACACTAAATTTGCTGGAAGACAAGTTAGGTAGAACTCCTGAAGACATTGGTACAGGAAAAGATTTTATGAACAAAACCTCAGTGGCATGGGAACTTGCACGAAGAATCAACAACTGGGATCTTACCTTATTAAAAAGCTTCTGCACTGCAAGAGAAACCAACAGAGCTAAGAGACAATCTACAATGTGGGAAAAAATTTTCAGCAACTGTACCCCAGACAAAGGACTACTATGTAGAATATACAAAGAACTGAAAAAAAATCAGATCCCCCAGATTCAAAGACCCAATTCAAAAATGAGCATCTGAAATGAAGAGACATTTCTCAGAGAAAGAAGTAAAAGCAGCAAATAAATACATGAAAAAATGTTCAACATCACTGGTTATTTGAGAGATGCAGATGAAAACAACACTGAGATTTAAATCACAGTGTTAAATCACAGATTTAAATCACATTCCTCAGTCCAGAAGGAATGGCTGCTATTATGAAATCATGCAATATCAAATGCTGGCGGGGGTGTGGAGAGAAAGGAACCCTTCTCCATTGTTGGTGGGAATGTAGACTGGTGCAACCACTGTGGAAATCAGTATGGAGATACCTCGAAGAATTAGGCTTAGAGGTCCCATTTATGGGATAGCTGACCCAGCTATCCCCCTGCTGGGTATCTTCCCAAAAGAATTAAAAGAATAATACCACAGTGATATATGTGCACCCATGCTTATAGCGGCACAGTTCATAATAGTGAAAGCTTGGAAATAGCCCAAGTGCCCATTAACTGGAAATCGGATAAAGAAAATGTGTTTTTTTAAAAAAAATAAAATGGAGTACTACTCAGCCATAAAGAATGAGAAACTAGAGACATTTATAGCTAAATGGATGCATATTGAGGCCATTCTCTTAATTGAAATAAATAGGAAACATATGTGTAAATACCGAATAGTTTCTCTAGTGTGAGAAACTGAAAGTGTAAGGATACACATGGATGAAATTGCCTAATATCATATTTCTCAGATTGTGTTTCCATCACGTGTCATATGACTATATCGAAATTTAAATTAGGGAAAAGCTTGGCTTATGTGGAGTCTGCTAGTTAACTGGAGTTTTTTTCCAGACCATTATTTGTTCAATGTTGGTTTTGGGGATCTTTCTGAAACAAATCACATCCTCTTGTTGGTGCTTGAGATGCTTTTTTAAGTTATATGGAAAAATGTTTAAGTGCTTTTCAGTTTTGTTTTGGTTGAGTTCTACTGTATTTGAATATTATTGTAGTTTTTTTTCCCTTGCATTGTTCTTCTTTGAATTGTTCTTTGGTTTTAATTTTTGTATGTGTGTGTGTGTGTTTGATAATAAAGTTATTAAAAAAAAAGAATGAGTCTCCAGCTGTCCTTGGGAAACTTAAGAGTCTACAAAATGGGGCAGTCTTGGCTGGGGATTTAGCTCAGTGCTTTCACTGCCTGCTGCACAAGTGCAAGTACCTGAGTTCGATCCCGGTACCAAAAAAAAAAACAAACCCAAAAAAACCCCAAACAAACAAACAAACGAAAAAATGGGGCAATTTTCATATAGATTCTGGATGTATCTGAGGTAAGCCAGAGGTGTGCCTGGGGCTTTCTGTGTGGGGATCTCATCATACATGCCATATCAACTTCCATTCTTGTATCTCAGTAACTCTCCTTTGCATGAAATCTTTATATGGTTAGGGCTTTCTGTAAAAAAAAAGGAACAAATTGTGTGTTCCTGTATCTTTTCAGGGGTGGTGGTAATAGAGAAAAGGATTCTAGTGATAAAACCCAGTCATAAGCTGATTTATATCATTTGCCACTGGGGGCTGCAAGGGGACTGGACATCTGGCTGAGGGTGAGGCACCACCAGCAAACTGGCAACTAACTCATTCTTAGGGGACTAACAACAGCCACAACTTCTCCCTCCACTGACGATGTTACTGTCCTCACAGATAGGATAATAGAGAATCCATAAAGGAATGTATAGTGGGAAAGGAGGATGGGGAAAGAGGAGAAACTTGGTAGGAAAAGGTGGGTCTAGGAGGCCAGTGGAGGCTGTGGTAATGAAAGGAGGACACTTGGATCTCTTTCCAACTCTTCATTCAGTGGCATCATGCTGGTCACTTGAACTTGGTCATAGAGCATTTACACTGAGTAGTTTATCAGGGCTTTCCCTGCCTGGAGAGCCAGCTGATATACATTTACTAGTACCTTGCCTAGCTTCTAGACTCAAATTTCAACACAGTTTTCTAAGAAACAGGTATTTCTCTCTCCCAGCCCTGGATATGAACTTAACTTTGTGAATTCCTGGTTCGAGGAGCAGTTTCAGGGCTTAAGGCAGGGGATGGAAACTGTGTAATGGCACCTGATGACATGGACACTTGGCTCTGTATGCAGCATTATTCCTCCTACCTCCCATTTTTTCACAAAATACCTCTACCACCAACTGAAGAAAATATCTCCACCACAAATCCAACTTTCTGTCTCCATTAAAGAAGAGTAGTAGCAATAGACTTTGTTTTTTTTACTTATAAGAGTAAAGCCATCTATATTTGTATTTTTATTGTTTAGTTCATGATTAACATTTGCCTTTTCCAGCAGATACATGTTATTTGACCATGAACAGAATATTTATTGCTGCCTAGTGTTAGTTTATACTTCTGAGATCAGTACCTTCATTCCCCACTACGCCCAAATAAATGTACTGGGTGGTGTTGGCCTGCTTCTGGCTCCAACAGGCAGTGCACAGATCTGGCCAAAGTCATGATCAGTCACTCAGGAGCGGGCAGTCAAGGGTCTAAAATATTCCTAGATCTGACAGATACAGAACCTCTAATTTTTTTTTTTTTTGGCTAAAGTACCTGGAGTAGTTCAAATGCAAGAGTCCTAATTTATCCACCAGATTCATAATTTCAGTTAAGAGAATTTGCAGTCTTTCCAAAGAAATTGATGATGTTTTTGATATTATGTGTTGATCTTTTCCAAAAAATAAATCCTGTGTCCTTTTTATTTTTTATGGCATTTTACTAAAATATTTATTCTAAAATGTCTGCTTTACATTTGTATATAAAGATACATTTACCTAAAAAATTATAAGAAGGATTTATTTCAAAAAGTCTCTAAAGTGTGCTAAATAGGAAAACTCTTTTTTGCCTCATTCACAGTTGTAACTGCTTTCACTCTCTGCAAGGCTCCTCCTCGAATAGGCAGCTTTTTAAGAGCAATGTCTGTGTCAGCCAGAGGTCCTCCCAGCAATCTGACAGGAGTGCTTTCCACTGTTACTACTCGACCAGAGGGAATCTAAAAAAGCAAAAGGTAAATATCTAAATGAATCTACTTATACAATTTTTCCATACAAGGAAAACCCATTCATTCTTCAGCTTACTTTGGAAAAAGATGCGAAGTATAAATATAAGCAACTTTTCTCAGGGAAAGAGGATGAAAAAGGAATTAAGTTGTGTTACATACATGTACCAACTCCACACAAGGAATCCAAACATTATATACTGCAAACATGTACTAATTAAAAAAATTTGAGAAACAGTAAGTAACTAGGGAGGCAGCAGGCTGTAATGAAAAGATAAGAACTCGAGCTAGGAAAAATGGGTTTGAATTCTACTTCTAGTGCTTATCAGCATATAACCAGCAGAGGTCGCCAGGAACGCCCGCTATGGCCTGGATCCCCTGTAGGAAAGGGAGGCACCTCACGTTTCTGGACAGAGATGGGGACACACATTCTAGTGTTGGCGGCAATTTCCTAGGAAACGTGGAGGGCTGGGCTCTGCTCTAAATTAGTACTGGGCAAGGGGTTTCATATCTTGGAGATAAATATGTCTTAACAATATGAAACCTGAACAGCAAGAAGAAAAAAATACGTGAAACTCCCATAGAAATTTATGAGTTCTGGGACCTGCATGTATTTACCTGTTAAGAAAGAGATGTGGAGAAAATCTTACCGTTGTGTTAAGGCCTTTAATAACCGTTGGGTGAAGTATTGCATTTTGTGGTCGCTCATTGTACTTAGAGGATTCTATAGCCTTTTCTTGCAGCCTTTTTGCTTTCTGAAAAAATTTTAAATTAGAAAGAAAATAATATTAATTGCTATTAAATCATTAACTGTGGTATTTATAATGAAAATACAAAGTATATTTAATTGTGTTTGGCTTGTTCTTTGGCTGTTTATTATACTGTCCTAGGATCTGCCTTTACTCATTTAAGTGCTTACTCATTAATGTAAGTTGGATTCTTTGTGCATTGAAGAAAATATCAGGCACCTAAAAACATTCTGGTGATTTCCAGAAGTATTTGTCATATTTGACTGAAGAGTAAAGCCAGTACTGAGGAACTCAGATTTCATTTTTAGCACATAATTTAATAAGCTACTAAATTTATATTAGGCTGTTTCAAAATATGTTGCATAAATTAAATACTAATTCAATATACTTACATGTGTTAAACATTTGGAATAATGCAAGTTATATAATTCATTTTAGTTATAGTCAAGCTCAGTAATTGAGGCACTAAACATGTAAAATGTGAGGTAACAAATGCTCTACATGGAAGGGGCTTCTTTTCATTAACTGTTCCTTAAAAATAAAAGCAGTGGGGCCAAGGATGTAGCTCGGTGGCACAGCACCTGCCTGGCAAGTGGGAGGCCTTGAGTTTGATTCCCAGTACCCAAAAAAAGAAAAAAGAAAAAAAAGAAAGTCATCAAAAATACCAGCAATGATAAAGATGTTTTGTGAGTATAGTCGGAAAAAACATCTAGTGAAAAGGGGGATTCCTGACACCCCAAGTGAGCTTGTTCTTAGGTTTTGCTATATTAATATCATTCTTTTATTTTTGTGGACTACCTTAACATTTACTAATTTCATATCTACAGAAAGCATTGTAACATTAGGTGAACAACCATCTAAGGCAGTAATGGAAATGGTACGTAAAGGTAGTAAAGAAAGAGTAATGAAATTTTGGAAATCCATAGTGCTTCTCACAAATTTAAAGTGAATAATTAGCCCTATAAACTTTTAGTCTGGTTTCCAGCTTCTAATAGAAGCAGTTTTCACATTTTTCCAAAGAAACATTTATCTTGAATTCCCATTTAAACTTTAGTTTGTTTCTTTTGGTAGTTAAATAGGGGAAAGCCTCTGGGGTTTCTTACAGAAAAGAAATAATTGAATAAGAAGGTGTTCTACTGAGAGCTCACCAGAAAAGTAAATGAACATTCATGTGTGAAAAAAAATGTCCTTAAGATATTGGTTGTTTATTGTTTATATGTAATACCTTAAAAACCTTACCTTTAATGTTTTAGTATTTGATGTTCTAGCCAAGAAATTTTCCCATGATTTATTAGCCAATTCTCTTTGCTTATGTGTTGTTTGTATCTGAAATGAGAAAGATAAGCAAGGATTTCAGTTTCTATAAAAGAATAGCGAAGAGCTGGAAAGCCCTATTTTGAAGGCTGCACCTACTCTTTGCTAAGGTAAAAGTTATGGCTGAGTAGCAAAAGGGTTAGAGAATTCATAGAACTTAATTTAAAAAAACAAAAAGCTTCAAATGAAAAAATCTGTCATTAATGTGGCTAAGATTTGAACTACTCTCCATGAGATGTGATACAAAACTGCCATTAATTAACGATAAACATGCTCAGCAAGTCTAATTGTTTTGCATGATTACCATCTGTGAAGACAGACTATAATCCAGAGGAAACTAAATATATGATTTAAAAGAAAATTCACAAGAGCAAGACAAACCCAAAGCTCGGACAAGGGAGGAAATTATAAAAATCAGAGCAGAAATCAATGCAATGGAGACTAAGAGAAAGATACAAAAAAATCAACGAATTGAAGAGTTGGTTTTTCAAAAGAATAAATAAAATCAATAAGCCCTTACCCAACCTTATCAAAAAAAGTAAAGAAAAGGCTCAAATCCATGCAATTAGGAATGAAAAAGGTGAAGTCACAACAGATCCAGCAGAAATACAGAGGATCATCAATACCTACTTCGAGAACCTGTACTCTAATAAAATGGAAAACACAGAAGAAATGGACAGATTGCTAGATACATATGAATTGCTAAAGTTAAATGAAGAAGATATAGAAATTCTAAACACCCCAATTACAATGAGTGAAACTGAAACATAATTAAAAATTTACCAACAAAGAAAAGCCTGGGTCCTGATGGCTTCACTGCTGAATTTTACAAGACATTAGACAATAACTATTGCCACTACTGTTTAAACTCTTCAATGAAATTGAAAGGGGAGCAATACTTTCAAATTCATTCCTGGAAGCAAGTATTACTTTGATTCCAAAACCAGGGAAAGACCCAACCCAAAAAGAGAACTACAGGCCAATCTCCTTAATGAATATACATGCAAAAATCCTCAATAAGATACTAGCAAACAATACGGAAGGTCATCAAGAAGATCATACACCCTGGCCAAGTCTGATTTATCCCAGGGATGTAAGGATGGTTCAACACACGTAAAAAAAAAAAGTAATATACTATATTAACAGAGCCAAGGACAAAAATGATATGATCATCTCAATAGAGGCAGAAAAAGCATTCGACAAAATCCAACACCCATTCATGATAAAAACCCCACAGAAAATTGGAATAAAAGGTCTTTATCTCAACCTGATTAAGGTTATCTATGAAAAACCAACAGCCAACATCATACTAAATGGACAAAAACTGAAAACTTTCACACTAAAATCAGGAACAAGACAAGTATGCCCACTATCACCACTCCTGTTCAATATAGTTCTGGAAACATTAGCCACG